GTTTATATTAACATCAAATTATTTTTTTTTTTTTTTTTTTTAAAAGAGAGTTCTACAATCGTAATTAAAGGATTTGGATGGGGTTCGCAGTGTGTTTGGAGGATTGTGGTGTATTTGCAAGTATTTTTTCACCAAAAAAAAATCAACATTTTAACCAAAAAATAGGTTCTTATAAATATTTAATTTTCTTATTGATATAACAAGTGTTTCAATCATAATTGAATTGTTGGGTTTTCTACAGTGTGTTTTAGGAGTTTTTGGGATTTAGCGATACCATTTGATCCTACCATAATTACTTTACCCTCACAATTACACGCCATTATAATTCTTAGCATAATTGCCATATTTACATAACTATGTATATAATATAGTATCTCAGTTTACATTATTTAGTATAGTTTTAGGCACTTAAATTTACATGACGGGGAGTAGAAACCAAGTATGCAATTAAATAAGTTTGCTTAAATAAATGTATTCCTAATTATTCAGTTTACTTCATTGCCGGCGGAACGTTTTTCAAAGTGGGGGGGCCCACTTATAAGATGAATGGGAATATGAATCATGCAGATCTTGAATCAAACCTAGGTGGGGTGGGGTCAACATTCCTCCCCCGGGAAAATTTTGATTTCTAGATGGCGGGAAATGACCTTTCTCGACTTTTGAGCTAGTAGGTGTCTAATGACTTTTTTCTTCAGAATTAAAGGTTTTCCCCCTCTTGAAAACGGTAAGGTAAACTTTCTCATTACAGTAAATAGGCCTGTCATATGTGTATACATACATTTAAAAAAATGAGTAGTTGCATACGTATTCTTTTTTCAATGAATCGATAAGCTCCAAAGAAAAGGGGGTCCGGGGAAAATTTTGATTCCTAGATGGCGGAAAATGAGCTTTTTCCCAACTCCTGAGGTGTCTTAATTACTTCAAAATTCAAGGTTTCCCCTCTTGAAAACGGTCAGGTAATTTTTTTCCCATTGTTATTACAGTAAATAGGCCTTATGTGTATACATACATCAAATTTTTTTAAAAATGAGTAGTTGCATATGAATTTTCCATGAATCGATGAATGCCAAAAAGAGAGGGGGTCCGGTTGTGCCCAGGGAAAATTGTGATTCCTAGAAGGTGGGAAATGAGTTTTCCCAGCTTCTGAGGTGTCTTTTAATCACTTATAAGTTCTTCAAAATTCAAGGTTTTCCCCTCTTGAAAATTATTATATTGAATCAATGAACCCGAAGAGAAAAGGGTGGTTCAGGTTCTTCCCGGGAAAATGTTTATTTCTAAATAGTGGGAAATGAGCTTTCCCGACTTCTGAAGTATCTTTTAGCAACTTTAATTTAAGTTATTCAAAATTCAAGGTTTTCCCCTCTTGAAAACGGTCAGGTAAATTGTTCCCATTGTTAGGCCACGTAAAATAAAACAATTGGTTAGCATCCCCGCCCGACCGTCAGAAAAGCCCCCGACCTGAATTTTTTTAAATTTTTTATTTTTACAAAACACTCAAAAACTCCATCTCCCGAAGGCAATTTATATAGACCTAGGCTTGTTTACCATCCGTCCGAACGCCAGCCGACTGGGCTTACCCCTGCAGTTCCATTCCATCATCGTCCCGTCTAGGCCTAGTCCTTGCTTCTATCTAGAAAAGGCCTAGTTTTATAGCAGTAGTATAAAAAGAGTGTATTTGTATACGCGGTACAGCCGATGCAAAGCATTAAGGTTTACTCGGGATAAGGTTTATGTTAGCAAACTAAACTCCGATCCAATGCTTACGTCTCATGCTTTGTGCAGAAAAGCCAAGTCGGCCAATCAGCGCGTTGGTATTTCCATCACTTTGGAAGTAGACATCCACAGCAGCGCGAAATAGAAACAAGGAGGAACCGCTCTGTGTGGTGACCGGAGACAAGACAACAAACATGGCTGCGCCCATCAGTTTAAAACTGTGGCATGTTCACTTCTTACCTGTGTGCAATATTTCACGAAATAAAATTTTAAAGATAAATTTTCATAGGTAGGACAGCATAGATAAATTATTACTGGAAATATAGTGGCAAGATAGTGCATGCGTATATTAGCGAGCGAGCCGTCCGGCCGTCTTTTGGAATGCTACAATTATTTAGGAAGGCAACTTTTACCGTGACGGCTTGGACGGCTTGGCCTAATCAGCTCGGCTTAGCCTAATTGGGCCTGGTCTACCTTTAGCAAATTCTTTATATATTCTTCAAATCTATCGAATGTTACATTAAACTAAAGGTAAATCATATTTACGTTTGATAAAAACAACATTTATTGATTGAATGTACGTTTTCGTACCAATAATCATTGGGGATTACTAACGATGGGCGTGGCCCGCCATCGGCTCATTTCCACGCCCACTGGCTTCCATTTTGGAAAAACAAAATAGGCCTTCTATTTTGTTTTTCTGGCGAAACCCCTGCATGGCATCAATGATGACTGTTTTGTTGTTCCAACAAACCCAGTATGGTCCAGTTATGTATTATCACTATATGTACATACTCAATCACATAAACAATCACAAATAGTAATCAATTGTACAAAATGCCAGTTCAAAAATTATGTTTCTGTTTATGAAGGGACAATGAATTATTATACGACTATGACAAACTTCAATCTTCTTATTTTGCTGTTGTTATTTTTATTTTTAATTTCACATCCAACAGCAATTACACTTGCCACTTAGGATGGAATGCTTTAAACCTGTTATTGATATCATCAGTTCTGTAAACATATACAATGTTGCATGTTTTAAAACTTCATAGGGATTTCAATATGACTGTTATTCATATAGGCAAAGCTTATCTGCTTGATATAGATGAATTACATGATTTCTTGTATCCAATTTTGCCGTCTGTTGTTTTCCTCTTCTTTGTTTTGCTAATTTTCCTTCCGACGCTGGTTTTTCATGTTCTACGGGGAAAAAAAAAAAGAAACCTCCCTCCCTACCATGAAATTTGATACCAACAGGATGCTAACCAATTATTTTTTTTTACTTGGCCTTATTAAAGTAGATAGGCCTTATGTGTGTATACATACAAAAAAAATTGAGTAGTTGCACACGATTTTTTTTCCATGAATCGATAAATCCCAAAAAGAAAGGGGGTCTGGGAGTTCTCCCCCATGAAAATTTGGATTCCTAGAAGGCGGGAAATGAGCTTTCCCGACTTCTGAGGTGTCTTTGAATTGCTTTTAAGTTCTTCAAAATTCAAGGTTTTTCCCTCTTGAAAACGGTCAGGTAATTTTTTCCATTGTTATAACAGTAAATAGGCCTTATAATAATAATAATGTCATTTTGTTAGGCGCACGTATCCATCCCTAGTAGGGGTGCTCGCGGCGCCGTTTTCCACCTGCCGAGTGTACATGTAGCCATTTTCTGCATTATAATGTGAATTAATTAATTTAATTATTTATTTAATCATTAATGTATATTTATTTGTGTCAGACCAGACATGGATGGATAGGCAAAATAAGATGCAAATACTCTTCGGGGTCACCATCCATCACCACCTTGCGCAATCCCGGACCTCTGCCTAGGTGGCTCGAACAAAGGAGCGGGAAACACATTTGCCCTGCCACAGACGACCGGGTGCTCAGGAGTTGTAATCGAGACAGTGGCTACAAAAAAATAAATGTGTGTGTATACATACATAAAAATTTTTAAAAATAAATAAATGAGTAGTTGCATACGAATTTTCCATGAATCGATGAATCCCCCCAAAAAAAGGGGGTCCGGGGGTTCTCCCCCAGGAAAATTTTTATTCCTAGAAGGCGGGAAACGAGCTTTCCCGACATTTGAAGTGTGTTTTAATGACTTTTATGTTCAAAATTCTAATTTTCTTATTGTAACAACAACAACAAAAAATCAGCTCATGGTCCTGAAAAGGTAGGTCTAGAATTCTTTTTCTTTTCCCCTTTTTTTTGTTGCCCAAAGGAGCCCCTCCCCCAGATTCGCCAATGTTAATTGCGAGAAAATGTAACTCAGTCGGGGATTTTTTCATTTATTTATTCAGACAAGTGTCATGGGGCCCCAAAAGCAACAAAATCACCATGACAAAAGTCTGGAGCCCCAGAGATGATTTTACCCTTACCGAAACTACAACCATGTTATTACACAAGCTTGGAGAATGTCTATTTATTATACACAAGTATAATTATGTTGGCAATCTTAACATCTCTACGGCGCACTTTGATGCAAGGCTTACTTCTACGATGAGTGATGACTATTGGTGATCTTTCTGTACTTACTACGCCCACCACAGCACCATCTAGGTTTTGTCGTGCATATTTGGCCAATGTACGGTTAAAATGACCCCAGTAAAAATGGCCCAGGAAAAAATGCCCCGGAAAAAATGGCTCCGGCAAAAATGGCCCCAGGCAAAAATGGCCCCAGGCAAAAATGGCCCCCAAAATGACAGGTAGGTAAAAATGGCCCTAATAATAGAATTCTGTATTAAAACTGATTTTTAAAAATCATTATATACATTTTTTTAACTGAAATAGTTTCTAACATCAAATTACAGGAATTACATATTCAATGATAAAATATTCAAAAATAAAAAAAGCCATGAATAACACTTTTTATTTTTTTTCACATTAAAATGTTAAAAAATAGCAACAACATAATCAATAAATCAACATAAATCATACTCGTGTCACGATCGGTCGTTCGTAAATGGCTCTCAGTTTCAACGTTGTTTTTTTTAACCAAAATTAAAGTTGGTGACCCTGATTATTGATATATTAGAAGTTTTATATGTGATTGTGGATCGTTTTTGTAAAGGATCTGCTAGGCCTGAAACCATTTAAAACCATTGTACTTTTACTGAACTTGAAAGGCTCCTAGCCCTGCACCACCTGGATTCTTTCTGAAGCCTAGCCCGCCACCTGGAGTTACGATTTACTGTGGTGGGCTGGAGCTTGGAGTTTCAATCTGTTTGCCGGTTAGTACCACCAGTACGGAAATATCGATCTAAGCTTAGAAAGCAGAAGATATGGCCTCTCCTGTTAGACCGCCTCGATCAAGCATATTTCTTAAGATAATGCCTGCTTTTCTGCTAATTTTATTTACGCTGTTGTTTTTCCGGAGGTCAACTTCCAACGTTTACCCGGATGACAGCGTGATGTGTCACCACAAGCCATCCTTGACAGCAACAGTCTTCGTTACGGGATCACGGTGTTTCACTGGTCGGTCAGTGAGTTACTACTCAAATTATTCATGCTGTGCATCGTTCCAACCAAAACTGACTCAATTTGGAGATGTCGAAATAAACCCTGACCCACCACTACAAACAAACTCGAAGGTCTGTGGACAAAAAGGCAAACAGACTGGTAAGCAACATATCTCTATGTATTACCAGAACATTGGAAGTCTAAAAAACAAAATGGATATTTTGCACTAAAGTATGCAGACATATATGTTAAACAATTTCTACGATGTAGTATCCTTCTCGGAGACTTGGTTGAAGGACTTTGTTCTTGATTCAGAAATTGCGGTCCCCGACTACAAACAATATAGATGTGATAGGCAGGGCGGCAGATGTGGAGGAGGCGTTCTTATGTATATCTCAAACCGATTGAATAGTCGTAGACTATATCATCTGGAAGATGATATTAACGAAATAATATGAGTTGAAGTGATTATATCTCGATCATCGAAACTACTTGTTCCTAATTACTATCGTCCACCAAATCTTACACGGACTCTGTCGCACATTTTGTTGGAGCCTTGGAGTCTTCCATGAGGTCCTATCCTGATCATAATCTCTTGATTGTGGGAGATTTCAATTTCTCGGACATACTTTGGTATCCTGATGGTACTGTACATATAAAGCACCTGCAAACTCCATATCTGAACTGTTTACGGACACTGTTCTAGATGAACATAACCTCAAACAATGTAACTTAAATGTTACTTGTAATAATAGAATCCTGGATTTAATACTGTGTAACAATGATGACTTGGTAAATGAGATAAAAACTGGCCATAATGTTTTTCATTCTGACCATGAGTCAGTCTCCTTTAAACTAAAATTTGACGGTAATATTGATTTTGTAAATTAATTTACCAGATACCAATTCAACTATAGAAAAGCAAATTTCGAAGAAATAAATGAAACATTTAAGTGGATTCCTTGGGATGTTCTATTAGGTTTTAGTGACAATGTGTGGTCAGTGTAGGTCATGTGACAGGGCCTACATTAGGGCTTGTCACCAAAGTTCTGTCTCTTTTTCTGCTTTTTTCTCCTTTTACAATTGGAAGCGCTGGTCGTTTCAAACTGCCGATCTATACAACTTTATATTTTTTTACAAAGTACTGTTGCTTACAAGTTATGTACTGTTGCTGTACCTCAACTGAACAAATACGCTAAACTGTGTACAATTATATTATACAGTACCTGTCTCTTATACACATCTAGATGTGTATAAGAGACAGTCGCAAGGCCGCGGGAAATGATCCTATTAGTAACAAAATTCTTAAGTTCTGTTCAGCTTCTTTATCTTTTCCGATCACCCATATATTCAAATTTTCATTACAAACCGGTGTTTTTCCAGAAAAATGGAAAACCGCCAACGTTGTCCCTATACACAAATCAAACTCAAGATTGAAAGTTAACCATTATAGACCCATTTCATTACTCCCAACCATATCGAAAGTATTTGAGCGTCTGGTTCACAAGCAACTCTTTAACCACATTCATCCTTTTATTAATTGCTACTGAACAACATGGCTTTATATCCGGTAGATCATGTGAGACAAATTTGGCTACACTTATGTCTACCGTATATGAAGCCATAGAAAATAAAAAGCAATGTGATATCGTTTATACTGATTTCACTAAAGCTTTCGATAGAATACCTCACAATCTTCTTCTATTTAAACTTCATCAATTTGGAATTTGTGGTAATCTTCATACCTGGTTTAAGAGTTACTTGTATGGGAGACTCCAGAGAGTGATATTTGAGGGGTCTGAATCTAGTCTCTTCCCTGTCCTCTCTGGAGTCCCCCAGGGCTCCATACTGGGCCCAATCTTATTTAACATTTACATAAATGAAATCCCACGGCTTTTCTTAAATTCCCAATGCCTTGCTTTCGCCGACGACTTCAAGATCTACAAAATCATCAAAACTCAGGAGGACTCGCGCATGCTTCAGGAGGACATTGATCGTATCTTCCAATGGACCACCGTTTGGAAACTGTCCCTGAAGCCTGAAAAATGTAAAATTTTGTCATGTTCCTTAAAGAAAAACCTTATAATATATGATTATAAAATTTATAGTAACATTTTAGAAAGGGTAAAAGCACATCGTGATCTTGGTGTCCACATTGATGGAAACCTTTTCCACCCATGTGGACACCATTGTTAAAAAAGCAAACCAGCTGCTTGGACTGATGTGGAGAAATTGCAAACTTCTTACACCATCAGCAAGATTTTCTCTATATACATCAATAATTACTCCATCCCTTGATTTCTGTTCAGTTATCTACAACTCATTATCTCATACTCATTCTATTAGAATAGACCGGATTCATAACAAATTCATGAAGTTCATTGGCCCAGCTGCCAGTTCGCTTAGTTGCGAAAAGTTTTTACCATCGACTAGACGAAAACGAAACGATCTTATTTTTCTATTTAAATGTTTAAACTGTAAGTTTGATTGTAACCTTGTGTCAAATTTTTATTTTCATGTTCCTGTGCGTAGGCTTCGTACCAATCATTTGTTAAAAGTTCCGTACTCTCGTGTTAATGTTTGTACTAATGGTATTTTTCGTCGTGTTGCACTTTCTTATAATAATCTAGTTCAAATTTTTCCTAATATTGATATTTTTAATTGTAATATTTCCATTTTTAATCTTATACTAAATACCGGTTTTTAATATATTATTACGATTTTTTATGCTTTTTATGTTTTTTTTTTAAAATCTTATATATTTTTATGAATATTGTATATTTTTATGGCGACTCTGTTATTGGTGTTTTTGAAACACTGTTGAGTCTTGAATAAATAAATAAAAAAACGGAAGCGGAATCACAATTTTCCAGAAATTCAATCCGGGTATTGGTAAACCCCACAAACAATGGGTTATTATTATTTTTTTTTAAGAAAAAGAGAGTACTACAATCATATTTAAAGGGTTTGGATGGGGTTTGCAGTGTGTTTGGAGGTTTGTGGTGTATTTGCAAGTATTTTTTCACAAAAAAAAAATCAACATTTTAGCCAAAAAATAGGTTCTTATGAATATTTAATTTTCTTATTGATATACCAAGTGAGTGAATCACAATGGAATTGTTTGGTTTTCTACAGTGTGTTTTGGGAGGTTTGTGGGATTTAGTAATACCATTATTATAGTAATAATATCTAATAATAATAATTAAATACTTGGACCTAACAGCCACCCATACAAAAAAGATCTATTAATTAGTCAATCAGCAGGGTACTCCTAGAGCTACTCATAGGAGCTAAAAACTAAGTTATTTTAGTTCTCAAATATGCATATGGTTTATGTTGATTTATTAATTCAATTTTTTGCTACAGGGTATTTTACAGCATTTAAAATTTTTTTATTTTTTTAATTTTATAATTGAGGGCCATTTTTTATTTATTGATTCAATTCTTGCTTATTACATTTAAATATTTGAAGATTTGAAAAAAAAATACCATTTCCATTACTGAATTTTTTCATTGGGGCCATTTTTACCTGGGCCATTTTTACCTACAACCATTTCGAGGGCATCAACAATATCAATGAAATTTTTGAGTCTTGCAACTTGTATTTGAGATCAACAAATGCAAAATAATGAAACATGTTAACGACATGGAATCAGCCGTTGTTTGTGAATTGTTATATGCTGTTAGTGCCGCTCTATTATAGTCGAATAGTGATGTTAATTATTGAAACTAAATTAAGCAAAGACTCAATCTGTAAATCAATGGTTAATAGATAATAATTTATCACTTAGACCACAGGTGGGTAATTGCGGCCCGCGGGCCGCATGCGGCCCGTCTACGATCTTTTTGCAGCCCGCAACTGTGAATTAAAAACCCTATGTTTGCGGCCCGCCAATCAAAATTCGCTAGAAAACCCCTTGTTTTTCACGGCCCGACACCAATCATATGTAAAAAGTAACATTAGAACTGAGAATAAAGTGATGTAAAAGCAGTGCTCGGAAGTTTTTGGAAGCTCACTGGAAACATCAAAGTTTGGGTGTGGCCCTCTGTGTTAAATCAAAAATTCACTTTGCCCCTCCGATTTTTATATGGCCTTAGACCAAATAATTGTATATTTTGGTTCTAATAAAATGTGAAAAAAAATAGTCTGAAATGAAAAAAAAGAACTTGTAACAGCAATGTTATACAATAAAGGCGAAATTATCAATCAAGTATCGTGATCTTGACCTTGACCAAACTCTCGAATTCTGCTACTGGAATGAAAGCAATTAGCAAAATAAATTTTAAAACTTAAATTTCTGTATATAGGAACAAAAATGTTCTTACCCCTAATGCTATTAAGCTGATTTTCTCTTCCCTAATAATCATCATTATCATTATCATTTCGATTATGGGTGTTGTATATCAGGTACTCCTGTGTAAATGAATTTATTACAAATAGACTTCAAACGTTGAACTTTGAACCATGTGTTTGTGTAGGCACAAATAAATTTACTAAACTCAATTGGCTACCAATCAATCTTCAAGAAAGGAAAGCTAATAACATTTACAAAATCATAAATTGAATTGCTCCAACTTAACCTAAATACAGTTAACACACACAATCACAATACAAGATTTTCAAGGAACAGTCTTTGACTCCAAATACCAGTTATTTATAGGACTCACAACAGGTGCAGCTATCAAATTACAGCCATCTAAATATGGAGTACTACAGTGTTACATCATGATACCATGTGATACTACTCCATTGCTATCGTTGCAAAATGTGTTCAGTAGGACGCCATTTTCTCCACCGACAAACATTGATCCCAATTTCTAACGTAATTATTAAGCTGTTGCATCTTAGTTTTTCCTTGTAGATTTTAATTGATGATTAAATGTGTGTTCGATAACTAATATCATTGTGTTTTTAGTATATTTTGATGGTAAAATATTTGATTTTAAGATGCCTATTCCAGAAAGCCTACAGGCATTCAGGCGTAATGAACGGTAACCAATGTGTTGTTGACAACAGAGGGCGCTACCTGGCGTTATGACGACACGACTGTGGTACTCTATAAAATTCACTTCCTATTTTAATTCAAAGTCCACCCTCAATTTAATTATTTAAAAAGAAATGTAAAAAAATATAATAATGAATTGTTAACATTACATGATGTATAGTATTTGAATTCATTGTATTGTATAAATGTTAGATTTATATTGTTTGGTTTGTTTTCGTTTGATTGTTTCTTTTTCTGTATTTAATATTTAATATTTTAGACCACAATGGAAATAACTTTGCCAGTTCGGTACTTTATTGTGTTTTTATTATTTAAATATTATGTTTGTATTTAAATATAGAAATAAAACAATAAATAGGATTATGATCATGAAAGTGATGCGCATGATATAAATCTAATATAATCCAAAATAGATAAAGTAGTATCTAAAATGTATATTTTCTGTAGATTTTTAGTGGAAACACGGATCAAAACACAGAGGTGACTCAAATGTTCAAATCTGCTATTGACGCTCAATTTATCCGCATCAGTCCAGTCAGTTGGTATAGAAATCCCGCTCTAAGAATTGAGATTCTTGGTCCATGTCAAGGTAAATTTGTATGATCTATTTGAGGATTACTATTCATTTCATTATTCCGCTTGTTGTTTTCTGGGTTTTTCCCTTATGCCTTAAAATCACTTACGTATAATAATATAAGTATGTCATTCATGTTCCAGCAAGATGAAAATAATGCACAGTTATAAACGGCATATCTTATGAATCATTAGTAGTCTAGTCACATGTGATAATAATGTTAAAATAACATTGTGACGTCGGAAACGATAAAAGGAATTCAGATTCTATCGGCGCTTGGCTCACCACAACGCCTTCGTGGTCAAGTGGTTAGTGAAGTTCGCCATATATGCGAAAGGTCCTGGTGTAATGACGCTGATATTTTTAATTTTAATAAATACTATAATAGTACAAAAACTTCTACTGGGTCCTTTTCTTCTCTATTCATACAGGAAAACTATTCACAGTATCCCAGCTCCGCAGAGCACAACTCGCACTGTTCCCTTTCTCACCTGCGTTGCTTTTGTAGCAATCTATATTTTAACCTTGTGCATAGATTAATAATTGAATAATACCTGAATGACAAAAGTACCAAATTTGGTACAGATATTAGTATGGGCATATAATTTTGAAAATTTCTTGGGGCCAAAAAGAAAATTAAATTTTTTGATGTAAAAAAATGAATTTTTGGTGTAAAGAATTTAATTTTGGTGTAAAAAATTGATTTTTTTGAAAAAAATTATGGTTTTTAATATTTTGGTATTTTTGACTATTATAGTACAAGGCCTACTTGTACAAACAGGTTTAGAATCCATATGGTCATTCCTTTGTCACAAATAAGCAAATTAAATGAAATACTTTTATCAAAAATTAAAGTTTTGTCATCTGTGTAACGATTCTTCCATATTTTTACGTTGAGGCACTCAACTATAATAACTCTTTCTACTTAAATTTGCTGGTTGTGTTTAACTAGATGTTTTCTTTTCGGTTGGATTCGACTCACAACAGTGCAATGTTTTGGCCTCAATGTAAACAAAAGGCTTATACATACGTGCGAGCATCTGTAAATCAATGGATTAGTGCCAAAGTGCGAGCCAGCGAGTCATGCAAGCCAATGCATGAGTCATGAGAGACAGCGAGCCATGCGAGCCATACATTTAAAAAATCTTTTTTTTTTAGGTTATCCAGTTTTGCAAACACGTAGGCCTAGCCTATATTCTTTGGCCTAATAGATGCAATAACACACTGGGGAGCTTTGCCTGTGTAGTCCAGTCATGCGCAGTACATACACTTTTGAACTTGGTTACTTTTTCGAATCGTAGATCCGAAAGTATGCAGCGCTGATAGATGTTGTTAAAATACAGATACACAGATACATACATACAGATATATTATATATATATATATATATATATATATATACTGTATTTATTTATATATTTATTTATATATATATATTATTTTAAATATACTGTATTTATTTATATATTTTAAATTTTATTTGCACATTTATATATATACATTTGTATATTCATTTATATATATATAATATGTATATATTTATTATATATTTATTTCCGCATAATTTTTGGAATGCGAAAAATGACCCGAAACGTCCTTTAAACTATCTGAATATTGATATTGAGAATTTTCAAATTTTAACACACGCGCATGTCACGATGTGTCCGTGTACAGTAATGGCACACGAAATTAAACATTGTCAAGTGTTTTTAAACCGCCTGTTGGTAATACCACAAGAATTTTTCCTTCATATGTCCTCAGTCTGATAACATCGGAATACAGTCTGCCGCCCTCATTCTATTTTCTTTTTTTACATCTTTTAAGCATATAAGATAAAAGGGCTCCAAAAATTAATTCTTTTAGACCATGCTGACGTGATCAATATAAAAAATAAAGGGACACGTACGATAGAGAATTGTTTCAGCCATAACATACTCACAGAAGGGAGACAATCAAGAATAAGCGAGATACGTTCAAACGTCTGTTTTGTCTTTAATTTAAATGGCAATATTATGACGTCACAATATCCGATCATCCATTATCATCTATAAAATCGTATCTACAACTCGTGCTTTCAGAATATGTAATAAAAATAAAAGTCATATTCATGATTTTTAGCATATAGAAAATGTTTTGCACAAGTACGCGCACGTTAAGACGCGCGCATAAACAATTAAGGTACATAACATTCAACCTTGACCTGAAGTTTATGCTTACTAAATATGATTTAGAAATGACAACTGGTTAAGATGATTATGTGGTTAAGAAATTTTTGAGAAGAGAAAGATGAGGGGGTCAGCAAAAACATTTATTTTGACCATGATGAAGTCATCAAAATGTAAAAAGAACTCACATATGAAAGAGAATTGTCTCAGCTATAACATACTCAAAGTTGGAAGACGATCGACCAAGGATAAGCGAGATATGCGTATTTTAATAAATGATGTTATTGATATAATTCAGTTTAATTGAATTCAGATGGCAATATGATGATGTCACAATGTCCGATCAGCCATTATGATCTATAAAATCATATCTACAACTCTTGTGCTTTCAGAATATGTAATAAAAATTGGGGGTCACCTTTCACCCTAAGGAGCTATAACTGATTAAAAATAGGCCTGATTTTAGCATATTTTCACTGTATATCGGCACAAAAGCACGAAAAGATCCCTTTGTTTGATGCGCACGTACAACATTACTATTGTCCATGAGATGACCGTAAAGAATGGAAATTTGTGAAAACAATGTCTGGAACCTAAAACATGTCAAAAAACAAAATTTCCAGCTTCCGTACATGCTGTGAGCGTAAAAATGCGCGCGCGTAGTGGAAAATTTAACAAAATGTTGAAATGCTAAGAATGGCCTGAAACATGCTCTAATTTAGTCAACAAGTGATCGTACGTGCGCGTTATGAAGCGCACGTGTAAAATTAGGGTAGATTACATTTAACATTAATCTGAAGTTAATGCCCACTTAATACGATTACGAAATGGCAATTGGTTAGGCTGATATGATCGATAATGTAAAAACGCAAAATTGCGCGTAGTTGATGTCACGCATGACTAAGCGTGTTGAAAAGCTGAACGTGACTATTCCAAGCCAAATGTTCGTTGAAGTGCTGTTGTGTGTAACTCGTGGCATTTATCGAGATATCGTGCAAACAAAAAAGTGGAGAAAAAAAGAAGAACTAGATTTTCACTAAGGACGAGTTAGGTGATCCGCCGCACTTTGACCCTCGAGGAAGAATTTTTAAATGCTGAAAATGGCCCAAAGTATATGCTAATTCAGTTTTTAAAAAAAGAACTTTAAGCATTTTAAAAGATTTACTCATGCGTACTCGCACGTCATGACGCACGTGCGCATGGTAATGTCACGAAATGTTCACTCATGATATGAGATATATGTATCAACTCTCATTGTCAAATGCCTGTTGGTGAGGGACTTATTATCATTTATAATATTTACCATATATAAAAATTCAGTTTTTTTAACTCTGATGGCAATATGATGATGACACAATGTCCGATCAGCCATAATGATCTATAAAATCATATAAAATCAATTCCAGACCAAGCCAAATGTTCTTTGAAGTGCGCATGAACATAAGTCACTGCAATTTTGAGATATCGTGCGAACAGAAAAGGGGAGGGGAAAAAAAAAGATGATCCTGACAATAAGAAGAGGTGATCCACTAGTGTAGCGGATCACCAAAAAGATGTTGAACCTGACAATAACAAAAGGTGATCTGCTCGTGAAGCGGATCACCAATGATTCAGTACAATAACAAGAGGTGATCCGCTCACCAAAAAGATGATGATCCTGACAATAACAAGAGGTGATCCGCACTAGGTGCGGATCACCAATTATGGCACTTAGTCACTAGGTAACTAGAGGCAATTTTCATAACAATATAGAAGCAGAACGTGTTGAAGCACTGATGCAAGTGCTTAGTCAAGTGGAGATAGCCAAGCCTATTGCATCATCATCGTATTGCAGCAGTACAGAAGGCTAAACGTCAGATCGAATTACTTGTGTCGTTCCAGGATGAAATTAACCAAATTTAAATAATATGATATTTTATTTAAATGTTAAAAAAAGGTAAACTGCTAAACTTGCCTAATTCTACCGTGCCTAAGTCAAATAATTTCTAAGGCGATCTTATTTTTCATGCTAAATTGTTGTGTTTTCCAATAATTAGCAATCTGTAAGTCAAATTTTATCTTAAAGTCAAACAATATTTCAATGGCATTTTGGATTCGATTTAGGCAAGTTCAACTGTATTTATTTTTCTTTGTCTTATTTTTAGTTCATGTCGTAACAGTGTTCTCAACTATTAGTGTTAATTATTGTTATCATATGTGGCTATGTATTTTTAATACTGCTTAAATTTAATATTAAATTTAAACAGATAATGAAGTGCCAAATTTGATCTGTCCTCATGACACCAGTGAAACCACAGATCCAGGCAAGTCAAATTCATCAGCAACCTGGAATGATCCGACAGTCACTGACAATGTTGATTCTAATCTAACAGTCACTTGTTCTTCTGCATCTGGTTCATCGTTTGATGCTGGTTCAACAATAGTAAATTGTTCTGCTACTGATAATGCTGGAAACACAGACAGCTGTACATTTAACGTTACAATCAAAGGTACAATGTGTTCTACAGTAATTACATATTATATATGGTAATGTAGCATTGGATGGCTAACATCTATTAAGCACATGTTGCCCACATTTACACACATTCCCGAAGGGGGAAGAGGGAATTGATTAAGATTCAAAATAACTTTATTGCAAATTTAACTTCACCACTTTGGGCGACTTGAACTCTATAGAAGCTCGAAGGTTATATATTTTTTTCTTATCAGGTAGTAAATTATGAAATACATGCCTTGGGTGTTAACCTTGGTGAAGTATCCCTTGCACAGGTTGTCCCTTCTTACAGTGCAAGTATTATGTATTCAATTCAAATCAACATTTATTAACTTCTTAATTGAACCAGAAAACAATCACAGCATTATATCTGTCTCTTATACACATCTAGATGTGTATAAGAGGACTCCCTGTATGTTGAATAAAGACTCCCTGTATATGGAGTATAGATCCTTGGATAGTGTTGTAGCCCCTCATAATATTTGTCTAATGACAAATAACAGCCTAGGTAGTGAGTTTCCCGAATTGTTTTTCATGTTTTTTTTTTTTTTTATTTTTACTTTATTTTAAATTCTAAAACAATTCTCATTTTATCATTGAAGAAAAGCCTTATGCTCTTTTATAGACATGTTAAATCTAATTATATTTTATCATTGTACTCATTTTTTATTTTTTTATTTTATTTTATTCAGGTATAAAAATAATACAAAAGGTAGGCAAAGGCTAAAATTATTGCATTTACAAAAATATAAAGGCCTTAATTACAAATAATGAAATTACACAAAAACATTAAAATACGCATTTACAAATTAAGAATGAATATTTACAAAATACGTAAAAGACTACATTAAATATATAAAAATTTAAATATTCTAATTTTGAAAACCAACAATTTGGCACTATATGAGTCCGAAAGCCGGTGTGGCATTGGTCCCAAGCATGGGTGGCGCCAGTGGGGGGGCTGCGGGGAAACCGTCGGGGAGAAAAAGTACAATTCATCGGGGAGAAAAAAAAATTATATACATTTTCTACATATTAGTAGATTCTAAAATCGAACAAATAAGCCTTTGAAACCCCTGAATTGTCAAAATTCAGGACCTTTTTCGAAACCTATCCATTGAAGCTCGACCACGCCCACTTTGGTTTCGTCAGGGAAATCTGACCTCTCGTTGGGGCATCAGCCGCCCCGTCGGGGACCAAAGGCAGCAGTAACAAGTATAAACTTAAACCATGTCACTGACAGAAGCACCACTTCTTTTTAAGAGACTGAGGGAGAATAAACGCCGAGCCGGGCCTTATTACAAATTTCACTCACATGATTATCCCAACTTAAGTTATTTGTGACATTAACGCCTGGAAGTTTTTCAACATGAGAAATTGTATTATCCTCAATAATAAACGATTCAATAAGAGTGGGTTTTCTTAAGAAAACTTATTTTCATGTGGTGACATTTACTTGGTTTAGGAATCATGTAATTATGGGAACTACACTTAGTGAGATCATCTAAATTGGTCTTCAAAGTGAAATTATTTCCATGTTGGACACATTCTCCAATAGTTAGGACAAGCATCATTAATTAAAATTAAGAAGAGGATCTGACCCAATTTTGTACCCTGAGGGACCCCACAAGTAACCGTGTTTAAAAATGAGAGTGTATTGTGTAGTTTAGTATTGTGAGTTCTGTCTTTAAGGAAGCTGCAGATGATGGGAACAAGTGATCGCCGGACTCCAATATCAATCATCTTAGATATCAAAACATTATGATTAACAAGGTCAAATGCCTTAGTATAATCAATTGTAACTAGATTGATGTAAGTACCAGGTTTATCTAGACTTCTATAAACAAAATCCAACATTTCAATAAGATAATGGGTTGTCGAAGATCCACGCATATATCCAAATTATTGGTTATCAATATTACAATTAATATCTTGCATTATCCAGTCACGTAAAAAAAGATTCAAAAACTCTTGCAGAAAATTGGTGTGAGAGAAATGGGCCGCATATCATTAAAGTCGGTCGAATTCTGCATTTTGGGTATTGGGAAAATTGTGGCGGTTTTCCAACGGCTAGGAAATTTTCCTTGCTGTAAGGCGGTATTCATCATGGTACATAACGGTTGGGACAATTCATATGCAAATTTCCTAATAAGTTTAACAGGTATGTCAGATGGGTGACAACTTTTATCGCAAAACGCAAAAAGTTTCTTTGTAATTTGACCTCTATAAATTATTGGGACACTATTAGAATTTGGCTCTTCGTTAGTGCCACTACCGTCTTGGTCACATCTTCTAGTATTGTTATTAAATTGTATTGGTGTTAGTATTATTGTTATCAGTATTGTTATTATATCAGTTATACTGAAGGCTGCTTATAGATGTTTATTACTATTTCAACATCAGTTTTCATTATGCCATTGAGTCCCATGCTCTGTTTTACAAACGAAGTCTGTTAGGGTACCATTCCATAAAATGTTATCTTCACTTTTACTATAATAAAGGAAGTTTATTTTTGTGCAATACCGTATATTTATGTTTTAGTGTCTTGTTTCATTTCATGCCGTGACAGTCGTCACAACTACTCTTATTGACATTTTTAATATTATATCGAAATAGATATTGAAGTTCCAAAAGTGATCTGCCCTGATGACATCAATCAAGCTACAGATCAAGGCCAGTCAACATCATCAGCAACCTGGAATGACCCAGAAGTCACCGACAATGTTGATTCTAGTTTGTCAGTTACTTGTTCTCCTATATCTGGTTTATCGTTTAGTGTTGGTTCAACTCCAGTTATATGTTCTGCTAAAGATACTGCTGGAAACACAGGCAGCTGTACATTTAATGTTACAGTCAAAGGTATCGTGTTTTTATCTATTAAATAGTATATAATGATATTGTTACATTGTCCTATTAAGCCTATTTTTCTTTACTTGAATAATTCAACATCAGTTTTTATTTAAAATGTAATTATTTGAAGTTAATGTTAATTTTTTAATTTTAAGCAGATGAAGAAATTCCAAATGTGATCTGCCCTTTTGACATCAGTAAATTCATAATTGAAGGCCAGTCAACATCAACAGCAACCTGGCGTGAACCAATGGTCATCGACAATTTTGATTTTAGTCTGTCAGCCAATTGTTCTCATGCATCCGGTGCATCGTTTAGTGTTGGTTCAACTACAGTTAATTGTTCTGTTGAAGATAGTGCTGGGAACACAGGCAGCTGTACATTTAATGTTGAAGTTATAGGTGTGTTATTTTTAGTATTATTAAGCAGATACTTTAATATAGTTCAATGGTATTGAAATAATAGCCTTAGTCTGCATATAAATAATACTAGCAATAAAATATTAATTTTAGGTGTATAATGAGAATGTGGGTGTTGTCAAATATTTACATTTATATTCATTCACTTCACATACGATTTAAAGTGAAATGAGCAAATACAGTAATGTGTAAAAAAGGCCATCAACGCCTTTATTTAGGTGGTTAAGATTTTCAGAAATCATAAGTTGTTTTCACATATCAAAAGTTTAAATTGTCCTGATTGTATAATTTATTGCATTACGTAATAGTTTGCCCTAATGATGAAGGTAAAGAAAACTTGTTTAACGTACAAAAATCAGAATCATACCCAACGATCTCTTAACAATGTGTATACAAGGCCGCTATCCGTCATTATAGAACTCAATGATGCACATCCACTTAATTGGTTACGTTTCTCAGAAAGCTGTTTAATTAATTAAATTAATGGGGTGGTGTCCAGCATGTGATATTTTTCTACCATGTAGTTATTAGTTATTGTTAATATTATCGTTAGTACTACTGTTTTGTTATATTCATTTATAATGAAAAACTACAGATACATTTCTATAATTCCTGATGATGACATAATTATTGTCCATATATTGAATCCCTACACGATGGCGTGCATTTCGATACTCGGAGTATGTATTATACTATCTTATCTGAGATTAATCAGTGGACCTTTTGACATTTCTATAACTGTTTCATACTAATGCAATAAGAATGTTAATTAAATTCAATATTAAATTTAAACAGATATTGATATTCCGAGTGTTACTTGTCCTGATGACATCAGTCAAACCACAATTCAAGGCCAGTCAACATCAGCAGCAACCTGGAATGAGCCGATAGTCACCGACAATGTTGATTCTTCTCTGTCAGCGAATTGTTCTCGTGCTTCTGGTTCTTATTTTAGAGTTGGTACAACTGCCGTTACTTGTTCTGCTACAGATACTGCTGGAAAAACAGGCAGCTGTACATTTAACATTGAAGTCAAAGGTAAGACGGTTTTGTACCTACTTAAATTATAGGCATATGGGTAATTTTTGTCCGAGTAAAAGCTGTCAAGCCTGCAACCTATGTTTTCTTTTTACTTTTTAATTTCAACTGTATGAAACAAAGATTTGATGAAGTAGGTCTACAGTAAAAAAAACATAATAAATATAATAAAAACGTTTTAATGGTAATGGTGATAATAATGGTAACAGTGATGAAAATGTGCATAGGACGAAAAGATGGTGCAGATATGCTTACAGAAAATGATGATAATGAATGCTTGCAGTACTCCAAGTAGTAGTTACTTCTTAAAAGAATTCTTTTTGTTAGTGAATTGCATCCATAACCTACTCTTTCTTAAGCCAGTGTTTATATGACAGAAGTAGTGATTTCAGAAATTTAATGACGATTTTAAAGGATTTATATTTGACCTCAAAGCACAAAAACACTCGAGAAACAAGATAGATAAAACCTGTGTTTACATGCTTTTCTCTAATGCATGGTGGGATACATAACAAAATGAACAGAGGGCACTAATTATTAAATACATTTTCTTTGAAGTTCCAAAAAATGACTAATATTAAGTGAGTTATTAATGAAGCTTTAATGATTTTTAAGCAAAATTAGCACTTCTGGTTTGCTTAAAAGTGTAAAATAAATCACTTAATGATAATTTTTGATGGTTTTTATGGTTTTATTTGATGTGTAGGTATATAAAAATTACATTACTTCAATTGTCATGTGGGGATCAAATTTATTGAAATTTCTGACTCAACCCCTGCCTTAAGTCTTGTTATATATTTTTAACGTTATATTTTGGCTCTTCGTTATTGCCACTACTGTCGTCGTAGTATTGTTATTAAGTAGCATTTCTGTTATTGTTAGTATTATGGTTAATAGTATTGTTGTTACATCAGTTATAGTGAAAGCATATAGACCTATTTCATTACTGATTCATACTTATGAGTAAGATTCAATAGGAATGTAATTTTACATTTATTATTATATTAAAATAGATACTGAAGTTCCGAATGTGACCTGCCCTGATGATATGAGTCAAGCCACAGATCAAGGCCAGTCAACATCATCAGCAACATGGAATGACCTTACAGTCACCGACAATGTTGATTCTATTTTGTCAGTTACTTGTTCTCCTGTATCTGGTTTACCGTTTAGTGTTGGTTCAACTCCAGTTATATGTTCTGCTAGAGATACTGCTGGAAACACAGGCAGCTGTACATTTAATGTTATAGTCAAAGGCATGATGTTTTCTTATCTAATTAAATATTATATAATGGTATTGTTACAATTTCTTATTAACATCTATTAAATCTGGTTTCACTTTATTTGAATAATTCAACATTTTACAAACTGACTAAGTAAATCTGAACATCTGACTAAACTAGTCAGGTTAAAATGTGCTCCATGGGCCCTGTACACATCATGATAGATCCACGCTTCACAAACTAAAGGTTGCAACCCAAAAATGGGTCGCTATACTTTTGTGTTGGGTCGTGGACCGGTTTGCAAAAAAAAAAAATCAATTGATGTGCTCATTTTCAGACAGTTAATCAGGTCTGACGACTTAAAAACAGCATGTTTAGGTGAATCCTCATTAGAACAATATTTTATCGTATTCAATGAATATTCTGAACTTTGTATGACCAATATTTTTTTTCAGCTGCCGTTTATCACAACATAATTGTGTAAATCTAAGCTCTCAACTGTTAAAAAAAATCAGTTTACAGAAATAAACTGGAAACAAGAAATTATTGTAAGATGTGCATCTCTTGCAAATGCAAACAATAATTATACCAAAAAGCCCCTGTCATGGAGTTTGGTTGATAAGGCAGTAGTAACCAGTACAGTGGGACTTGGGGGGTGTTTGAGCACCCCTTTCAGAGGTTGAAAAATAATTAAAGTGCCACTTCTTAAATGTTATATGCCATTTTTCGACATCTGGAAATCCCAAATTCTTACAATTGTATAACTTCAGCCTCAACCCTGGTTGGCTGAGGTGGATGGTAGTTTCCATAAATTTTTAAAGTATCCAAGTGCCGTTTTCGGGCATCTATTAAGTCTCAAATTCTTAAAATATACTCATCTGCGCCCCAAAAACCATGGTGGGGCTCAGGTAGATATCATACATTTTGTAGTATTCAAGTGCTATTTTCTGGTATCTATAATACTCAACTTCTTTAAATTTTTCAACCATGGTGGGGCTCAGGTGGATATAAATGCCATTTTCAGCACCTATTTACAGTATTTAATTCGGGGGTTTTCTAAACTCATTTTGTCAAAAATAGAAAGAATTAAAAAGTAAATTAAGTTCCATTTTCAGGAATCCAGAGGTAGAAAATACTGAAAATTCTCATTGTCTCAAATCTCATTTCATTAGCGCCTCCCTACCATTCCCTAAATCCTTGATAAGCAACTGGTAACAGGGTTAAAGTTTAGGCTTTAACTATATAATCCAATAGTTGAAAATATTTTCTGCACATGAGGTGTTTCTACCCTTTAAAAATTTTCCTGATTTCCAACCATCTTTTGGGCTAGGTTCATATGGGATTATAGCCAGATGAAGTAGCTGATCTACTTGCCAAGTTAATTGGATTAAATCCACTAATCGCGTTCGACGTTAAGGTTAGAGCGAGATATTTTGACTACAAAAAATTCGGAAAACACATCATTAGACAGGAAGTACAATCGCATGGTATGTAATTACTGTTGATTTTCGCGCGACTAGTTTATGCTAGATCGAGACTATAGGAGTAAGCTATGCCTAGGTCTCGGCGGTTGATTAGACTGGCCGAGAAGTCCAGCTGGAGGGTTTACACTGGGTTTTCCCCCAAGTATTTCGTTTAGCGCGTGGTAGTGTGGGCATGCCGATTTCAGGTCATCACATAAATTGGGTCCTAGAGTAAAAAGTTTGGGAAGCGAGATATAGATGATTAGAGGATTATAGCCCGAAACACTGTTGAACTAAACAAACTTCAGACGTAAGTATGTTACTGCAAAAAGGATAAAAGTCAGAAAGAAAACCTGTACAAATTGCTTGTATCGTTAGCGTTTAAAGGTAAACACGTTTCTAATACTATTGGTTTTATCTGGGTTTTTTTTTTTTTCTTTTTTTTTCTGTTAGATGTATTTCATTGTCACAGAATATTAGTAAAAAATTTAAAAAGCAAAAAGCGCTCTGATCTTTTAAAATAGCGCAAAATATATGATGTAAGGATGATGATGAATTAGTAAGATGCGGTAGGACAGTAATTTAAATTTAATATTAATTTTAAGCAGATGAAGACATTCCAGATGTGATCTGCCCTTCTGACATCAGTAAATTCACAGATGAAGGCCAGTCAACATCATTAGCAGCCTGGCATGAACCAACAGTTATCGACAATGTTGATGTTAGTCTGTCAGCCACTTGTTCTCGTGCAAATGGTTCATCGTTTAGTGTTGGTTTCACTACAGTTAAATGTTCTGCTGAAGATACTGCTGGGAACACAGGCAGCTGTTCATTTAATGTTGAAGTTATAGGTAAGATGGTTTCATATCTACTTAAATTATATATGTAATGTTGCTTTGTCCAGCAACATTAGTTCTTATTATGGTGTCATTGTTAGTCATAAACTGATACTTTAATAATTATAGTTCAATGGTATTGCAATAACAGCTTTGGTCTGCATGTAAATAAATCTAATAGGGTGTTGTCAAATCGTTACGTTTCTAGGTATTTACTTTACAGACGATTTGTATTGAAATGAACAAGTAAGCTCATGTTGAAAAAAATGCCATCAACGCTTTTATTAGATTAGGAGTTCATTGGTGGATCTTGAAAAAAAAATTAAAAAAATAAAAGCTCTGTGTACTGGTACACACATAGGACTATTTACTGTAATAAGAATGAGAAAAAAAATTACCTGACCGTTTACAAAAGGAGAAAACCTTGAATTTTGTGGAAAAGATCATTTCCTGCCCTCCAGTGATCAAATTTTTCCCGGCCCCCCTTTCCTCTTTCAGGTTATCCATTCATGGAAAAAAAGAATACGTAAGCAACGCCATTTTTTATATGTACATATACACACATAAATAGGCCTTATACTGTAATAAGAATGAGAAAGTTCACCTGTCCGTTTTCAAGAGGGGGAAACTTTGAATTTTGAACTTAAAAGTCATTAAAAGACACGTCAGAAGTCTGGAAATCTCATTTCCCACCATCTAAGAAACAAAAGTGTGACCCCCCTCCCCTCCCACTCAAATGGGGCGGAAAAAAAAGGTGGTTTTTTTTATCTTTTTTCAAATTAAAAAGATTATGTGTGTGAATTTATCTATATTTTTTGCCAGATGCCGTACAAGTTAGTCTAAAGTTGTTGTCTAATGTAAGATATTGCCATTCAAGGACTCTGCGGGTTATTTTCATTTCATCTGAGTATTTAAAAAAAAAATAATAAAAAACTTTTTCCACCCGCCCCTATTTATCATTTTTTTTTTTAAAGAAGGGCAAACAAACAATTTATTTTATTTGGCCTAATGAGTCAGATGAAATAGGAATGTTATTTCAAATTAATATTAATTTGAAACAGATATTGAAATTCCGACCGTGACCTGTCCTAATTACGTCAGTCAAACTGCAGTTCAAGGTCAGTCAACACCATCAGCAACCTGGAATGAGCCGATAGTCACCGACAATGTTGATTCTTCTCTGTCAGCCAATTGTTCTCGTGCTTCTGGTTCTTATTTTAGAGTTGGTACAACTGCCGTTACTTGTTCTGCTACAGATACTGCTGGAAATACAGGCGGCTGTACATTTAATGTTGAAGTCAAAGGTAAGACGGTGTCGTACCTACTATAGGCATATGGGTAATGTTTTGTCCAACTGAATTCTATCAAGCTTGCTGCCTATGTTTTATTTTTAATTTCTACATTATTTCTAATATTGGTGTATTTGGTAATATTATCATTCAGCCAATAATTCATACAGTTCAATGATAGCGCAATACTATCCTTAGTCTACATGCAAATAACACTAAGACAATGCACAATGATAATAAGCGTATAACGAGAAAATCCCACTAAATATTTACTTTTCTGGGTATTTACTTCACAGACAATTTAAAGTGGAATGCGCAAATAAAATTGTTTGTCAAAACAAGCCATCAGAACTTTTGTTAAATCTCTGCATGCCATCGTATAGTACATTGTCACAAACGTTTGGGTCCTTACTCTTTTTTTTTATTATTATTTTTTTTTATTACATTCATTTTTTCACAATCAATTCTATGTATGATTATTGAGTCTTTACCTGCCCGGTGTTCTCTATATTCTTATATATTTATTTATTTACTTAGGCATTTGTTTTTTCGTCTGTGCTTATGATACTTAATTTGTCTCTTTACTTTTTATTTACCAATTCCTTTTATTGAGGATGCCTATGCATCCTCAATCTGCACTTTCGTATTTTTTTCCATATACTTTACTTTTTACCTGTGCTGTATTTATTATTGAGGATGCCTATGCATCTTCAATCCGCACTTTCATATTTTTTTCCATATACTTTACCCTTTACCTGTGCTGTATTTATTTAATATTTTTATAAATGATCTCAGTCTAAAGCTAAATGAAGAGAACGAAAACAACAAAATCCAAATAGGTAATCTAAAAATTACTCATTTACTTTATGCTGATGATCTTATAATATTTAGTGATAATTATTTAAATAAATTATCAAGATATTGTGAGACATGGGATTTAACTGTAAATGTTAACAAAAGTAACATTGTTGTTTTTAAAAAAGGGAATAAACTTAAGAAATATGAAAAATGGAATTACAATGGGACTGCATTCGAAATTTCAAAATCATATAAGTATTTAGGAGTTACTTTAAATTCAAATGGTAAATGGAATAAAGCCAAAGAAAATAATTACCTACAAGCTAATAAAGCCTTATGTGCTTTGAAGGGGGTAATTCAGGTACGTTTTGGTCGTCTACTGATTAACTTATGGAATCAAATTTTTGATGTTAAAATATTACCGATTTTACTTTATGGCAGTGAAATGTGGGGTTTGGATGATATTTCATCTATTGATAAGATACAAATGAAATTCTGTAAATACATGTTAGAGGAGAATGCGGGAGATACCCCATACATGTTGCATGTTCTGTTAACGTTATTAGGTATTGGTTAAGACTGATTTATATGGACAGTGAAAAATTTATTAGGCAATGCTATGACTTTCAATACAGAAAAACACAAAGAAACGAGCCTTGTTGGGCCTTATATGTTAAAAATCTATTATGTTCCATTGGTTTTGGAGATATTTGGCACGAACAAAAAGTCAACGATTTCAATGATTTTGTATTTAATCTAAAACAAAGGTTAACAGACATTGAGAATCAAAGGTTTTATGAAGAAATTAGGCAACATTCTAAATTAAAATTGTATTCACAAATTAAACATGAATTCAGAGCAGAGGATTATCTAAAAAATGTAGACAATCACAGACATAAACAAATCCTTACGAAATTAAGATTGGCGATATTAGAATTAGAAAGAGGAAGATGGTATAATGTTAATAGAAATGAAAGATTATGCAAATTATGTTCGTTACAAAAAGTCGAAGATGAATATCATTTTACCTTAATTTGCCCTTTTTATTCAGATATTAGAACGAAATTTCTATTTACATGTTACACAGACACTCCGTCTGAATTCAAATTTCTAAATTTAATGTCTACTAAAAATGTTGATCTCATTTCAAAGTTATCAAAATGCTTATTTTACTCATTTAAACGCAGAAAAGAATATTTAGATGCACTCTAATTTTGTTAATATCATATTTTGTATATTATTTGAGCCAGAGGCCTATGTGATTAATAAATGTTCCTTGAACCTGTTTTCCAGGAAGAAGAAGAAGTATATTTTTTAAGTGTGGAAAATTAACTAAAACTGAAACTGGATTAGTATGTTAAGAAGTTAAAACAGTAGTAAAAATGCATGTCATGATTTTTTTTTTAAAGTTTAATGTTGTTTTAACTGTTTCAGCTGTTAACCAAATCACTGGCAGATTTACAATTGTTAAAATTGGTCCTGATATAGCTACTTTCACAGCGGATTATGACGACCCTACATCAAATGCATATCAGGAGCTAGCTCTGATGATACTCCAAGCGGTAATAATTATTGCAAAAATAATATCCATCTTTTATTTATAGTTATTTAAAAGTAGTTTTTTACACCGTTATCATTAGGGCAGGTTTAACATTTTCTGAAGAATCTGTGGCAGTTGTGATGTTTGTCAAAGAAGTGTTAGATGAAGCACCACACTTAATTGTATAGCTTAAACTTTGTTATTGTTTTGCAAAATTTGCATATACCGGTACATATTATCTGTATATTTCATAATCAATAATTTATTCCGTAAAATAAAAATATTAAAATCCAATAGGCCTATAGAGTATGTTGAGAATATATTTTGCAAGTAATGTTGAATGCATCTGTCCAACAGTATTAAAGAGATAAACTTAAAAAGTATATAAATATATATATATATGTATGTATTTATATATATATATATATATATATATATATATATACATATATATATATATATATATATGATTGTATATAAATTCTAGGTATAAATATGGGTTGTTACGCTTGTTTCACGCTTAATGGCGATTATCAGACAACTGTAACTACGCCTGTTGTTATCCTATTTATATTGTTCATTATGGAGCGGTTAGGTGACTCTATTTTAAAATTTTTTTATAGTCTGACTGCCCGGCAAGCTCTCTCCGGCGGGGGGCTTCACCTGTCCAGTGGGGACTTTCGTCCCCTGTCTCCCCCCCCCACTGGCACCGCCACTGGTGAGCAGCCCTCCCTTAATAGACAATACAACATTTACATTTTCATTCTTTCATTCTGTTTCATTTGCTTATTTTTATTCATGCATTACTTCTCCAGTATGTTTAAATTTCTTAAGAATTAATGCTTCACCTCCCATTTAGTCCTTTCTTTATTTATGCCTTTTTTATACACTTTAATTTGCCTATTTACCATGAAATGTCATTCTATTTGTTTACTACTATAAATACTTCTATTTAAGATATATTTAATTTGTGCTTATATATTTTTTTTTTCAGCTGACAGCTATTTTTGGATCTGCACCTGGATTTCTTGACATTCAAATTCTAAATTTGGATCCAGGAAGTATTATTGTGGATTATTATGTTGAATTAAAATCAACTGGTGCTACAGCATCAGATTTGGATTTATTGTTTGTTCAGAATGTCAACAGTGAAGGAAAGTTAAATGGTTCGATGCTTGATCTTAATCCAGAAAGTATCCAAAAGTTTTATGGTAATAATATTATGAAACAAATCTTATACAGGGTTAAATAATTTAATATATTATAAAAATAAATCACTAAAATTATTATTTATTCAGGTCACATCGTGACCAAAGCTCATTAGTCTATTAACACAATACTATGTTGATTTTATTGACAGAAATTTGTCCAGAAGATTACTGTAATAATGGAGGAATGTGTTCTATGGATATGAATAATTTTAAAAGCTCTTGCACGTAAGATGAACAAAGTTTTATTCATTTCAAAAATACCGCACACACAATTGTAATTTTTGAGAATGAAATAAGAATATCAGCCGGGAATCGAACCCGGGACCTTTAGCACCAAGTAGACCATGGAGGCTTTTGTTTATTGATTCAATCTGGTAGCCACTTTAATGGGTTTCACATAGAACTATGGTTCATCCACATCATCTTGCTAAAATTTTCTATATGAACGCTAAATTATTCCTTGATAAGGAAATAATTAGACTACAGTCATCTAGATGTATTTTCTTGACTAACTTCTTTAATCCAGTGGTTGAGCCACTTGGTAATGCAGAAAGTAGCCCAGCGGGAGGCCAGCATCCATATAGGCCAATCAGACTCCTGCTTGGTCATGCGATGACACTGACAGTTGCATCACAGACCCTATATACTTGTTGGTTTCATGCTTATTATATCATTTTTTTTATCTGGCTCTAACTAACCATTGAACGTAATTTAAATTGGCAACTAGATCAGCTACTTCATCCGGCTATAAATCCCATTATGAAATTAGCTTTAGAGTCCTTCAGCATTCTTAACGCATCCATATGGCAATTAGTCTGTGCATGCTTATAAAACAATCCAAGATCTGAATAGACACCCTCCACTGTACACTTTGTAAGGCTAGCTGGATCACGGGCTTGGTAGGATCTCGCTGAAAATCTGTCGGAAGTAAGTGAAATATAAAAGCCAACTCAGACAGCGTCGGCCGACGCAGCCCGACCCGATTTATCGTCGGGGACAGTCTTAAGCCGTCGTGAGAAATATTAAACACGTTTAATATTCTACTACGCGACTGCCCCCGACGCACACCATCGCGTCTACGTTCAACTCACACAGACCCGACGCGACAACAAATCGCGTCGGGCTGCGTCGGCCGACGCTGTCTGAGTTGGCCTTAAAGGCCAAGTGCTGGTTTGAAATAATTAATGTTTAATATAAAATAGAGGGATGGGGGACCACAAAGAACGTGATGTCACTTGATTTTGGAGCACGGTATTCGAAAACGAGGCTCGTGAACTGGGTCCCAAAAACGAAGTGGTGCTACAGCAGAGATCCCAAGTTTCCCGAAAAATCGCGGGTTCTCCCGATTTTTGATGCCGTCTCCCGATTTTTAGTAATAATCTCCCGATTTTTTTTTAAATATCCCGAAAATTTCACGAAAAATGTGATTTCCACGATTTCATAGAGCAATGAAACAAAATTTCTTATTTTAAGCCAATATACTATGGCGCTCGCTCAGCCTTAAAATGTCGTATAACAAGACCCGGGAGTTGTTATTTAAGTTGTTTATCAAAATAACAACTCCATGGCAAGGCAGGCCTAGATCCGTGGTAGAGCCTTGTTTATCCTCCATGTTACGATCTTTCTCATCCGCGCCGACCTTAATCAATATGAGATGGCTGTCAGTTGAGTAAAAAACAAATTAACAAAATTAGAAATCACATGCAATGGATGCCCCAAGTTTTTTCGCCGCGAAGATTTGGAACTTTGTAGAATCGGTGCATAAAAAATACTCTTTCTTTCAAGTAAGCTTCAGTTCTTTAAAAAACAATACTAAAAGAATCATAGTAGGTTTTGGTACTAAGTAGTCTTCCGAAAAATTAAGTTTATTTTAATATCAATCCCGAAATACATGTAGGCCACTGCAGGGTATGTGTGTTGTGTTGAGTGGGCGTCTGTGTGTAGGCCTAGTGGTGGTCGTGACTGCGGCCTTAGGCCTAGTTACGCACGTACAGATGGAGCCTAGCGAGGCAGGAATTAATGTTTTTTCATGGCATTATGTACGTATTAGTATAGATAGGCTAGACATATATAAATGCTGACTTAAAACATGTAGTATGATTTACTAACTAAATTAAAATATATATTTATTTTTTTATTTTTCAGGAAACGTGTGGATCTTGCAAGTTGCAGTTGCCTTGCTAGAATTCTATGTTCTTTGAAGAGATGTAGTAAATCTCAGCCATAGCCTCTAATATGCCAATGAACCAAGCAAAGCCTTGTTGACTGCTGCCAAGAATGCTTTACTAGCAAAATTTTGAATAAATAATAATATTTATAAATTTATATAGGCCAACTGCAATATGTAAACAAATGTAAAATTGTTAAATAAAAGTAAACAAATTAATGAAATTTGTTTGTTTTCTTCATTTTGTGTAATACTTTCATGTTGCACAGCGCGTCGTAAGGCGTCACAGCGCGTCGCTACAGGGGGCGATCGCTTCACGAAAAAATCTCCCTATTTTTTTGGTTTTCTTGGGATCTCTGCTACAGGATTTTGAGCTAGTGTTAAAAGATAGGGAATTTCCTAAAATGGACCGACTTCAAATGCTTGCATTCGGTAACCCCATAACAAAATCGTGTCAAACTTTAGATATTCCAACGTAAATTTGGCATTTATATGGGTTTTCACTTATGAAAATGTCTCAATTATGTGTAAAATAACAGTTTGCCCCAGTTTTTGTTTCGTGAATTTTGCACTAGACAGGGAGTCAGCTGATTCACTCAACCGTAACGAGATGTTAAAGCCCCATTCCCGGCAAATTTTCAATTTTTAAGAAAAATCTAATTTTTGTATAATGTTATAAAGATTTATAAATATAATACGGAATTGCTAGTTTAACTGAATTTAGACATTCCTAAGAATGAAAAAAAT